AATGTTACAGGGATTTTGAAGCGGTGCCGGAAACAGATACCCAGTGGATCCCTGCAAAGTGGACTAAAGCAACCATAGACTTGGCACACGCCAAAGACGACCATTAAGAGGTTCCTGATACTCATTCTGACAATGATGTGGGCTGCGACACCTCAGGGACTGCCAAGGACAGCCTTCGATCCTAAGGAGAATGTCGGGGTATCCCTGGCTAGGGAACTGAATACCACCACCTTCTGTGCAAGTCTAGCCAGCCCTAGCACACCTTCTGTTACATACCTTGTCGGGTTACCATTAAGTGATTAGGTTTAAGTTGTGTTACCATTAATTGATTAGGTTTAAGTTGTGTTACCATTAAGTGATTACAGTAATTGTAGTGTTATTAGGTTTAAGTTGTGTTATGTCATTGTAGTTGTGTTATGTTATGTATTCGACGTCTGATGAAAAAACCTTCGGCCAAGTACTGCTCGTACAAAAAGAAAAAGGGGGAATTGTTGGGAATTGGCATACAGGGCCTGGACCATGAGTCCGTGGAACAATTGTTCGATCTGAGCTTGCCTTAAGCAACCAGGAGTAGGCCTTAGAAAATCTCATGGCCTGCTGTAGCTGAGCAAACCAAGCTACCAGAATAACTATGAGAAGCTCCCACGACAATGATTCCCACATTGCCCAATTGAGGAATTCAGAAAAATATTGTTACCAGCAGCTGGCTTCAAGGACAAGGTCTATGTGACTGCTAATCACAAGGGGGTTGTTTTCTTGACTGCTAATCACAAGGGGGGTTGTTTTCTTGCAGGTGGGGTTGTTTTCTTGTAGTTGTTTGTCTGAGTGCTTTTGACCAATAATCTTGTGTGAAACACTGTCCGCCCCTGTTAAGTTCACTATAAAAGTTAGGCTATTCGGGCAATAAAAGGGAGAATGATCTGACTCTACTGGTGTCTGTCGTGCTTTCGGCCGTGCGTCCTCTAACAGAGATCCTACATAGAGTAACTCAAGATGACAATTCCTGGGGATTTAGAAACATTTGGGAGAAACTAGCTTCGTGGTTACCAGAAGAGAATTGTTTCAAACAACTATTTGTTGGTATTGTGATAATAATGGCATTGTATATCTGTTATCCCTCGTGACATCCAAAGAATAAAATTGCATCTTAAAGTTGGAAAAACTCAAGAGTGCAGTATGTGAAGAGGTGCAAAAACAACAATAGAAGAAAAGAAGAGGGGGGAATTGTGAGAAACTAAGTTATGTTTTTGCAGTAGAGAACTAATTTTCTGTATTCCAAGGTAGTTGTGTAGTCATAACAAGGAGAAATGCTAAGTAGATAAGTGGACAGTAGAAGGCCTCACTGTTCCCAAATAAGGTGGAAGCTTGAGAAAAACAGGATGAGCAGTGTGGGAACAGTAAAACAAAGATCACAAGTTCTCAAAACATAAGAAAGGAGAAATTAAAGGGTTGAAAAAAATAAAAATTGTATATATATGGTATAGAGGAGCGTCGAGTAGCTTGTGAACCTGTAGTACTCAGCCAATGAGGAAACAGGGGAGGTGATCAGGTGTTGGGTAATAGGGAATAAAAGGTTATGATTTGTTTACTATAATGCACTCCTAATTGACAGGATGCCCGCCATTGCAATCGCGAATAAAATAGCTTCACAGAAGATCCTGTCTGAAGAAAATTATTTGAGATTTTTCTCACGCTCCCAAGTAGCTTGTCTTTGCTTCCACCTTCTATGTACTTCCTTTCTGTATTTGATCTCTATCAGGAGCTTCATGTTCATCCATTCTGCCATGCTTTCTCAGCTTACTGCACATTGGAATGGACCATTTTTGTGCTCTGAGGAGGATGTCCTTGAAGACTACAGCTCTACTTGGCTCCTCTGCCCTCCAGGGCAGTTTCTCTCATGATCCTCCAAAGTAGGTCCCTGAATAGGCTAAAGTCTTCTCTTCTGAAGTCCAGGGTTGTAATTCTGCTGTTTGTCTTGCTCACTCTTATCAGGTTCTTAGAAACCACAGTCTCATGGTCATTATGGTCAAGGCTGCCCTTGACCTTTACATTTTCCAGCAGTTTTCCCCTGTTTGCGACTAGTAGGTCCAACATAGTATTTCCCTTAGTTGGTTCATTGATCATCTGAATCAATAAATTGTCTTCAATACATTCCAGAAATATCCCGAATTGCTTATGCCCAGTTATATTGCCATTCCAGTAGATACTGGGGTGGTTGAAATCACCTATGAATACCAGGGCCTGTGACTTTGAGGCTTTACCTAGCCGTGTACAGAAGGCTTCATCTGCCTTCTCTTCTTAAGCAGAAGGCCTGTAGAAGACACTACAATAGCTGTGCTGTTCTGGCTTCTAATCCTTATCTACAAGCTCTCAACTCTTTTGTGCCCCAAAGGCACAGCTCTATGCATTGAAGCCTTCCCTTTACAGGAGGGATGAGGAAGGAATACCCTCATCACATCTTGACCTATCCTTCCTGAAGAACCTGTATCCCTCCATTGCAATGCTCTAGTCATGAGAGCTATCCCACCATGTTGCTGGAATTCCAATGAGCTTATAGCTCTACAACTGTATCTGTCTGTCACAAACGCTGTGTCTCTCTCTTATTCTCTGTGATACATGCTCAGCCTTTCTACTGGCCAGACCTGAAAATGGGAACAGCAGTAGCCATATCCATCAGACTGGGACAGACAAATCTGGGTCCATAAGCACACCAGACTGGGCTTCTGAAGCCTGGAAGGAGGAATAACTGGGTCTTGGAGTCTGTTGGATTGGGGGCTTTCATAACATCCTTAGCACTTAACAAGTATTTGAATGACTATTATCTATCTTATTATTCAGTAAGTCTTTCCCTCCCCAATGTAAATGAAAAACTAAACCCAAGGGGGAGTATAGGGGGAGTATAGAGATCCTGTCCAGGAGACTATTGTACATCAAGGAGTTAATGATACACATCACAGTTAAACTGAGTAGGCCTAAGTCTGTACTCTTGATACAGATAGATCTCTTGGCTTGAATAATATTGATATCATGGAAGGAACCTTGTACTATATGTCCTGCCTAGTAAGGGATTTTTGTACTATATGTTCTGCTTATTTAAGCACTAATAAGCTAAAACAGAGGGAGCAGTGGAAGGATTGCAAGATGTGGTCAACTGACCTTGGAGATAAGAAGGAAAGTGAAGATAAGAAGAAAATGAAACAGCCTGTGTAACTCAACTGAAGTTGGCACATCAGTGAAACACCATTTAAGGAAGAGAGCAAAAACCAAGCTCAGGGCTAATCAACAGGCAAAGGTAAAGAGTCCACAACAACCACCCCACCGGGACCATTGACTCAATTCATTGAGTCTGCACAGATGGGAGGAACATCTGTAAATAATTCCAGGAATGTAATGAATATGTAAACCCTGTGATTATAAGTTTGTTTGGTCTGTGCTGATGAGGCAGACACACTTTGGCAGAGCAATCCCCGTGTGTCTCCAATGCTGCAGATTTGATAATAAAGAATGCCCACTTTCTAAGTTTTCAAAATAAGTCTTAGAGAGTTTTATTTGCCACTTTTACAGTAACACTCTGCTGCACTGTGCTGCAGCATGGCCTTCAGGCCTGTGTTATGCTGCACATATCCCTTGGTCACAGGATAAACGTAGCCAGTTCATTGTAACAGAAGAACTTGCAGGCAGCTCCCACATGCTACTGGTGATTACACCACATGTGTGGCCTTGCCCTTATCTAAAGTGCAGCAAGACGTTCACACGTGAACATCCTTTATGAATAAAGTTGTTTTCTTGTAAGAAAATTAAATAATAGCTCAGTCAAAGAGGAGAAGGTTCCTTCCATAGACAGAATCTGCACGGCCTGCCGTGGGAAAGCTATCTAGGCTCTGTCTGATACTGCACGAACATGGAATTCCCAGCATCTGAAGGGGCATAAGATTTACTCACTATTTATGTTCCTTTTCTTATTCTCTATTATTAAAACAGCCACTTTATTAAGCCATTTGTTGTCAGGCCTTTCTCATTGAGATCTAGAAATATCCCTGTACCATTTCTCTCTCACCTCAACCCCCCACCCCCCAGTGTAGAACAGAGGGTGATTGTCTTTCTGGTGGCAATTGCACCCCATGAGAAAGCTCTGGCAACATGTCAGAAGGAAGAAAGTGGGACGTTCAGAGTTATGGCATTTGCCTCTCCAAGAAAATGTTGTTTGATGGAGTCCCGTTTTCCTTGAAATGGCTGAACATCTGCCTGCTGATGGGAAATAGTGAATAAATTCCTTATTGTGTACGTAACTTTTACTTTACTTATTAAACTGTTTTTATCTCAGCATGAGTTTTCTTACTTTTACCTTTGCAATTCTCTCCCCATTCCCATTAGGAGTTAAGTGGTTGCATTAGCTGTCTAACAGGGTTAAACCACAACGTGGGGTTTTTATGTTCGATTTTTTTCTTCTCTTCTCATTAAACTGCCTTTACCTTAACACACAAGGTTGTCCATCTTATTTTTTCCCCGTCCTACTGAGGAGGGGGAGTAAGAGTGACCAGGGATAAGGGGTGAGTATCCGGCAGTCAACCAGGGTAAACCCACCACAGAAGGGCAGGTTTAAGCAGCACTGCCGATACTGGGTAAGGTCCCCCTTTTTATGCAAGACTGACCTGTTCTGGCTGTTGACATGCTCCCTTTGACTCTGAAGACACAGCCCACCCCAAGTCCCTTACACCTACATTAGTAGTTGCTGCCTTGCTCAAAGACTTCTAATGTAATAAGATACAGCTAAAACAAAAAGAGAAAATTACAAACTTTCTTCCCATAATGAAAAATTAAAGAAAAATACGCAGCTAATTTATAAACCTCCAGCAGCCCCAATAGTGTACCAGTAATGATGTTACTGATTGGCTGATCCCGTGTGTAAGGTGCCACGAGGCAGTGAATGGAGGTATGATTGGCTGGTGGTTTCCTATTCCTGCAGATGTGGACGCTTTCTTTTATTTGCTCCACCCCTTCAGTACTGAGTGGATCATGGTATGATGATACTATTTCCGGGTGTTGGTGAGGCTGCGGATGTCTGTATCTGGAAGTGGTCAGAATCAGAATGAATTGGAGGCTGAATTGTTGGTGTTGAAAATAATAGCTATTTTTGGCCTTTTTCTTTTTCTGGAGCTTCTTCCGTCTGGATATAAAGAGAAACGGTTTGGGGACTACAGGTGAGGTAGACGGGCAGTGATTAGTATTAGCTGGCAGAGGCGGATGATTGTTTTATACTGACAGGGGAGTGTCTGGCTCACGTATGTGCGCCGGAGCGTGAATTAGTGAATGTGAAGAGGGTGGGTGTATCGGTGGACTGAGGTGGTTTATTATCGATTTGATTAGCTGGCGGTAGGGGGAGTGGGCCGTGTTTTTTACCCGTGATCCAGACGTGTTTTGGGAAGTAACATAGAGGTGTCTCGGGTAGGAAGTAGGGTTGTATCTCCCTCTCTGGTGTTCTCCCCTTGCACCTTGTATCCCTTCAAGTAGCCGTGAGGTCCTTTTTACTGAGTCTGCCTTGTTGTTTGTTTTTTTTTTTTTTTTTTTTTTTTTTTTTTTCTCTCTCAGTTTTCCGTAGTACTTTATTCCTTCTATTTGGTGTTTCCAGGGGTTTTTACCATCCTCTCGCTTGCAGTTCTGCTGGGCCCAAATGAAACTTCAGCCTGAGTAGTTGCATGGGAAGGGAGTGATGCTCTGCAGGCGGTCTTTCATAAGCACGTGTGTGTTTCTTGGGGGAAAAGGTAAAAGGACAAGTCAGTGGGGACAGTGCTCTGAGGTTTCTCTAACATGCTTGTAGTGTCTGACTTGCATGGGGAATGAACGCACCTTTTATAGGCAGTTTTTGGGCATGAGCAACACCTAAATTTCACCATGTTAGTATGGCTTTGTAGGTAGTATAACATGCATAATGACATAGCAATACATACGCTGAAAAATATCTGGGTGCCATGGAGTGAGAAGTTTGAATGATTTCATTTTGACAGCATCATATGAATGAGAGGCTTGCAACACTGAGATCTCTCTATTCAGCCAATGATGCTGAAGTGATAGAAATTAAGTAGGAATATTTCTTTACATAATGGAGGATGTGATTTCTGTAAAAAGTAACTGAAGGTTAGCACGTAATTCCTAGAAAGCAGCAGATACTTTATTTATACTCTTTGACTGTATGCTTGAGTTATTGTTTAGGCTTCCTCTTGGTAGATTCAAAGTTCTTGTTGCAATATGCAGTTGTCATGTTCAAACCATTAGTTGTCTTGCAAATCCAAAGCCAAAAGGGAGTATTCAATACCATTTAACACAAACAAAAGGTCGGAGGGGGAGAACACACTAGTGAAATGAAACTGGTATTTCATCTCTGATTTAGAACTTCTTGAGCAAGTCATGCTTATAAAAAGTAATTGAGATAACGTATGCACAAAATACCCCAAACCTGTAGTATTTGCTTGCTTTACAGATGATGATAGCTATATGAAATATAGTGCTGAATATGTTACAGTTCCATTTAGTAATTCTGCAAGGATAAACTATAGACACAACCCTGAATTTCTACTAGAGATATACGTGAAATTTGAACATTCAAGTTGATCTAAAACAGCTATGACTTGAATATGCTGAGGTATACTGAATATTCAAAAACAGGTGGAGAAATGAGTAGTCTTTCTCCCTCCAAAAATTAGTTTCACTTTTTGGAATTTTTAATGAAAAAGATCTTTAGGTGACGCTTAAGGAAGAACTATTTTTTTTTTTTTTTAATAGTCGTTATTCAGTTGCTCATAATAGTTCATGTTGTGGAGGATAACATTTACTCACATGGAAAAGTGTTTATATATGCTATCCGCATAGAAGTCTTGTACAAATTATAGATGTTTCTTATAAATATGTACCATCTGTCATGTTGACATGACTAGCTATTAGTTTTTCTTCATTGATGCTAATGAGGTCAAGCTGGTAATCATGTTGATGATGATGTATTTTGTAAACTTATAAATAACAAAGCAAAGGTCATGTAGACTTTTTTTTTTAAATTAAAACATTTGAACTGAGGAAAAAACACTTAACACTTTTGTGTAACTGCTAAAAACATGGTTTTAAAAAATGTTTGACCTCTCTATTCTTTGGTACACGTTAAAATGTCTGGAATTGTATTGGTATAATGATTTATAACAAGCTTTTAATGCTTTGAGCCACATGATCAGAAGATAAATTTTTGAAATTAACTCAAATTTAAATGAGTTTGTGTCCTGGTTTTGCCTGGGAGGGAGTTACTTTTTTCATTACACAGAGTTGAAGATTTTTTTTAGCTTTTTGTGCTACCCCGCCAGCAAAGATGCTGGGGATGCACAAGAAGCTGGGAGGGGACACAACCAGGATGGCTGACCCAAACTGGCTAAAGGGGTATTCTATATCATATGATGTCATGCTGAACAATAAAACTGGGGTAGCTGGCTGGGATGGGGTGAGTGGGGGCTGCTGCTTTGGCATGGAATGGGCATCGGTCAGCAGGTGGTGAGCAATTGCACAGTGCATTACTTGCTTTGTATAATTTTTTATCATCATTATTATTATTTCTCTTCCTTTTCTGCCCTATTATATTGTCTTTATATCAATCCACACATTTTTTAAAAAAAACTTTTTTTCCCCTCTCTTTCTCTCCCTCATCCCATTGTGTGTGGGTGGTGGTGGTGGTGAAGTGAATGGCTGTGTGGTGCTTAGCTGCCTATCAGGTTAAACTGCAACACTTTCTGAGAAGTTCAAAAGCAAATACGCATGGTAAGTCTCAAATGTAATGCAGTCTTACTTGTTTGAATCCATTATGTGGATGCAGCTTGGAAGTTAAAACTCATGTTGAAAACTGATGTAGTTTCTGTGCAGGTGGCACAAGTGATATTTGTTATTTAAGAAGTCCTGAATTCAAGAATGTAATCTAAGAACTTCACTTCCAATTTTCTACTAATGCCTAGCAAATATTGTGCTTTCATATAACAGACTAGAAAAACACGTTGGATCTTGCTAAAGACTAACTCATATAAAGGCTATAATACTGATTTTTGAAGCTCAAGTAATAAAGGTAGTGGCCAAAAATGTGCCCATGTGCCTGGCAACAAGATGAGGGGGAACGGGCTAAAGTTGTGCCAGGGGTGTTTTAGGTTGGATGTTAGGAAGAACTTCTTTACCAAAAGGGTTGTTAGGCATTGGAATGGGATGCCCAGGGAAGTGGTGGAATCACCATCCCTGGAGGTCTTTAGAAGACATTTAAATGTAGAGCTTAGTGATATGGTTTAGTGGAGGACTGGTTAGTGTTAGGTCAGAGGTTGGACTTAATGATCTTGAGGTCTCTTCCAACCCAGACAATTCTGTGATTCTGTGAAAATTAGCAAGTACCAGTGTTCAGTGTCTGTCTTATGTTCTATTTGAAGTTACAACAGGAAACACTTTAATTGTCAAGGCCTATCAGAATGCAGGAGTTAAATGTTTTAGGCTCTTAATGTATGTCATGCTTTCAAGTGTGATACCATGACTGAGAGATGGTGCACAACAGGGTTGGAGATAAGTGATCTAGAAGACAAAAAATCATAAGTGGATGGGCATGCACCCTGATATCAGATAGCTTTGGTTGCTTCAGGCAGCAGTGTTCTTTTAATAAAAAAAAAAAATCACAAAAATATTTTTTTATTTTTTCCCTTAAACGTGCTCTTTGTGGCTAGCAGACTGTGCTGCTGTTTTTTACTAGCAAGTTCGTCTCACAGAGACTATTTGCAGTACTTACCAGATGGTGATAAAACATTGGAAGCTTCCTGAGCCAGATAGAAATCTCTTGCTCTTCATTGGACAGTTTGTGCTATCAGGAGCAAATTGAGCAGTGCAGAGCAGAGTTTCCTCTGATTGGCAAATGGTAACTAACTCTCTCTGACACGGAGGAGAAAAGTTGTGCATGTTAAACTATGCATAAAACCACATTAAGCAGATATTGCAAATGTACTGTTGCAAGCTTGAGCGTCAGGTGCTGAAAGTCACTAGCTGTTGGTTTGCTTTATTTCTCAGATGTGAAATAAAAGTCCCAAGAGTGCCTCTTGCTTAGTACTGTAAGTAACATGAAGATGGCACACGTATTCAGTTTTTGGATGGATGGAGCAAGTGAGTTAAATGGTGGTTAAAATTTGTGGAAGTTGTAGTTTATGCTGAGTCTGTATAAACCCTTAGAGCTGTTGATATATCTAACTTTGTTTTGAGGCACACACATACCCCAGTTCTCTCAGCCTCTCCTCATACAAGAGAGATTCCAGTCCCTTAGTCATTTTCATGGCCCTGCACTGGACTCTATCCAGTATGTCCATGTCTCTCTTGTACTGGGGAGCCCAGAACTGGACACAGGATGCCAGGTGTGGCCTCACTAGAGCCCAGTAGAGGGGAAGGATCACCTCCCTTGACCTGTTGGTAATACTTTGCCTAATGCAGCCCAGGATAGAATTAGCCTTCTTTGCTGCAAGGCTACATTGCTAGCTTGTGTTCAACTTGGTGTCTGAGGATCCCTAGGGCCTTTTCTAAAAAGCTGTTTTTCAGCTGGGTGGCCCCCAGCATGTACAACAACTGGAGTTGTTCCTTCCCAGGTGCAGGACTCTGCACTTCCCCTTGTTGAACTTGATGAGGTTCCTGTTAGACCATTTCTCCAGCCTGTGCAGGCCATTCTGGATGACAGCATGACCCTCTGTTGAATCAGCCACTCCTTCCAGTTTTCTGTCATGTGCAGACTTGCTGTGGGTATACTCTACCTCATCATCAAGATAATTAATGAAGATGTTGAACAGGATTTGGACCCAGTATTGACCCCTGGGGTACACCACTAGATACTAGACTTTGTGCCACTGATCACCACCCTTTGGCTTCAGCCCTTCAGCCAGTCTTCAGTCCACCTCACTACTGCTCATCTTGCTCATGCATCCACAGCTTGTCCATGTGGATCTTATGGGTCCAGTTTCCAATACCTTCCTGAAGTCTGGGTAGAGAATATCTGCTATTCTCCCCTCATCCATCAGGCTGGTAATTTCATTGTACAAGCTTATCAGGTTGGTCAGGCATGCTGACTGGTGAATCCATGCTGACTGCTCCTGATGATTTTCTTGTCCTTCATGTGTCTTTCTGAGATTAGCTGCTCCATCAATGGAGTGTACGGAAGGCA